GATGTATTTTCGTATAAATTACTTATACTTATGTTTCGAAATGTACTAATTATTTTTGTATTTTATGAATATTAAAATAAAAAATACTTAAATCAAACCTTTACATTAAATATGTTCATGGTATAAATTATTATTATATATGTAATTTATTCAACAATTTTAGTAAATCACTGTCCTTTCAAAACATCACTTCGGTAAAATTCGTCGAACAAAATTAATATATGTCAGTCATTTTTCTAAACTATTTGTTTTGAAAGTGGCTCAAGTCACTTTACCGTAATGAAAAGTGGTGATTTTTTAATGTTTATACGAAATTATTTATATTGAGAAAAATATCAGTATCCTGAGATAACAAATACAAGTAAATTTTTGTCGAAAGTTAGCATCCATATTTTTAAACGTGTTAAAACACAAATCCTTAAATATCTCGTCTTAAAAACAAAGTGACTTATGCCACTTTCAAAATAAACGGCTCAGTTATACCTATACTTGTCGCGTCATAAATTGTGCATAGGATACGAAAATAGAACCCGAATAAAGATTACAATACGTTGTCGCGAGTGCACGAGAACTATTCGTAAAATTATCATGACCGATCGAAAGTAGGAGATTTCCAAAACGAAATAATGTTGGATCAGAAATCGCTAATTTGTTTTATTCTTATCTCAACGATCTCCTGTTTTCCGTAGGGAGAATGTCCAACGGTGCTATTAACCGGAAGTGGCGCGCCTATCGCCGAGAAGAAGGCCATTTTAACGGTTGGCCCACGCGGGCCCATGCTAATCCAAGATTTTGTTTATCTCGACGAAATGTCGCACTTCGACAGAGAAAGGATTCCGGAGCGCGTGGTGCACGCGAAGGGAGCAGGTGGGTTAACTTGTCACATTCTCGTCGCAATGTTCGATGTTTATCGCGTCCCATTATGGAAACAGTTTTCTCGGTATCGAACATTTACATCGGAAAACGCTCGGCTATATTTCGCCATAAACCCAAGAACTAACAAATTTTATGTTAAACATTATTGTCTCACTACGCGATAGAGTTTATGGCACGAATCGACAACCGTAAACTAACATTACCGAAATTGAAAAAAAGTGAAAAGTGAGGCCGAGAAATAGCGCTTTATTACATGCAAAGGCTATTATACAGGATGTCCTAAAATTGTTACTTCCGGGAATTGACGGATTCCTGAGGTGATTTCAAGTAACTTTTTCCTCAGCGAAAATGCAATCCGAAGCTTCGTTTACGAGTTATTAACGAAAAATAGTGACCAATGAGAGGCGAGCCCAGTTGGCGCGAGGCGGCTGAGCCAATAAATGAAAGCGCTTTGCGCCAGCCAAGCTCGTCTCTCATTGATCTCTGTTTTTCATTAATAACTTCCAAGCGAAGCCGCGGTTTACATTTTCGCTAAGGAGAAAGTTACTTCAAATGATTTCAGGAAGCCCTCATTTCCTGGAAGTAATATAATTTTGGGACATCCTGTAGACCACTGCTTTTTTAAAATAATCTAGTGTCAGCAATTTTTCATACTACACTCAATTATTAACTTCGGATAGCCAGAGCAATAGAACGCGTAACAGTAAAATTAAATTATTAAGCAATGTAAACAAAAGTTGTGTTCGATCTAATAATTATTTAAGATTCAAGAATTACACAGACAACTGCATTTCGAAATCTTGGAATTCGAGATAGTTCATTCACTTTAACCTTTTAGGTACGGCTGAATTCAGCGCGAGGCTATTTCTCTGGACGGCAGAAACTGATGTGTACTGTACAGAGTCTGATACTGTATATTCTGTCTGTATATACAGGGTGTCCCAAAAATGTCTCGCAATCCGAAAGTGACGGGTTCCTCGGGCCATTTGAAGCAACTTTTTCCATTACAAAAATTTTCTCCGAGGCACCGTTAACGAGTTATGAACGAAAAACAGTGACCAATGAGAGGCGAGCTCGGCTGGCGCGAGGCGATTGAGCCAATGAGCGGAACTGGGCTTCGCGCGCTGGGTGGCTGGACCGTCTCGCGTCAGCCGTACTCAATTCTTATTGGTCACTGTTTTTCGTTAATAACTCGTTAACGGTGCACCGGAGAACATTTTTGTAAAGGAAGAAGTTGCTTCAAATGATCCGAGGAACCCGCAATTTCCGGATTGCGAGACATTTTTCGGACACCCTGTAGACTGTTGTAAATCGATGTGAAGACAAAAGAAGTGTGAAACAATGCATATGAAGACGATTATTTGGTTCAAACGATGAGCGAGTGAGCTACTAGAGCAAGCCACTATAGTGGCGCGTCGGGCCTAAAAGGTTAAATA